GCACTGGTGACTTCATGTGCCTGTGCGAGTCGTGAAAATTATGAAAATAAATCTAGGAATTATTTGATTGTTGGATTTTAAATCAGCGGGGTTGAGGCATCAAAAGTAACTAAGTAACTAAGCTGTTTTATGGATGGTAACTGTAATATTATTACTGAAATCGTATTAGTAATTAGTTACACTACTAGTTACTGCAAAAAGTAATATTATTACAGTAACTAAGTTACTATTTACTAGTTACTGCTCAACACTGTTTAAGAGTCACGTGAATACTCCTATCAGCAGGACATTTTGAAGGCTAAAATGTGGGTCATCTGATACTTTTGGCCAGGACATACAGACTTTTACAAATGTATTATTACAGCCACAAAAAAAAAAAAAAACTGTTTCATGTTACCATTATTCTTGGCTACTTGTTAAGTTTACCTGTTACCTGTTACTGTTTCATGTATTGGTATTTTCTAGGGCTGTGAATCTTTGGGTAGACAGCGAATCGATTCGATTCACGATTCATAGGTTTTCGATTCGATTCAAGAACGATTTTTTCAAATTCAGAACGATTCAATTCGATTTGATTCACAATTAAATTCGATTCGATTAATGATTCGATTCTGCATTCTTTAAGTGCATTCACAGGATTATTTGAATGCTTGCCCTAAATTCTTTAAATGCTTAGTCAGAGGGCAAATTATACATCAGCCTTTATGGTTACAGAAGCATAGGTTAGAGAAGAAGAAAAAAACACTTTTGTGCATTGTTAGATGCTAGTTTAATGATGATATGGCATGACATGGCATATGTAGAAATGTATGTAAGCCAAGCTTTTTAAAAAGAGCTTTAAAAGTATTATGTATAGTTTGTCCATTGTTAGATGCTAGTTTAATGATGCTATGGCATGACATGGCATATGTAGAAATTTATGTAAGCCAAGATTTTAAAAAAGAGCTTTAAAAGTATTATGTATAGGCTAACATTTTGTCACACCAGGGGCGTAGCCATCATTTCAGAAGTACAGAAATGTCAAATATAATAATTGTATGTATGTATGTATTATTATTATTTTTTTACAAGGAATTATTTTCTTATCTCTTACTTTGAATTTGCTATAAGAAATCAAATACACTTCTGGACAATAATCAATCATTTGCAATCTATAATTTTTTCCTAATGGCAATTTTGATTGTTTTATACTAAAAACAATTATTTAAATTTTCTGCACAGAATAAGGTAGAAAATATACTTTATAATTTCTGCACTGTAATAAATGATATGTCAATTAGCACTGCATCATTCATAAATTGTATTTATTTATTGTGTTTATTGTCTTAATGTTTCATCAGTTCATTGTGCTTTTTATTCAGATTAGCTGCAGATATAGCCTGGCACATCTTAAATTCTATGAGCGCAAAATCACTTCTCTTTCAGTGCGAAAAATTCTTTATCTCATTTTCATAAAATAAAATGCTTTAGTATTTAACATTTCTTCTCCATCGGCGAATGATGATTCTGAAAGAAAACGCCCAAAGTCTGTTAGCAAGGAACGCTACTTTCATGCATCTGATTATCAGATAAACCTCGGGCTCTTATTTCAAGGTTGTTGTTATTGCTGTGGTTATTTTAAGTTTCCTGCATACATTCGGTTCAATTACATTGTTAAAATACATTTATCATTTAATGGAACTGTGCGTATGCTTTAATAACTTACATTTTTGCTCCGTCCATGCAATAAATGCGCAGCCTTCGACTGCTCAGGTATGTCGTCGTTATGACCGAGAGCCATTGAAAAACTACAGAAAAGTAAAACTACTTCACTTTAGCATTACTGACCACGAGTACTAAGGAGAGATCACACATCTTGTGACAGTCACAGGCAGTAAATAGTGGAGCGCGTGAAGGAGAGATGCGAGGCACGAAAACTGTTCAAGGTCTCCATTAATTCGTGCTTGTAGTAATTTAATGTGTATATATTTTGAAAGCATTGAATCGCTACAGGATGTTTCAAAAAATATATATGATTTTTGCATCCCCCTTTGTGTACACATTTCATACTTTTGCATCTCTGCATGTTACAACTGTTATATGCGATTTAGAGTTATGAGTGTTCCTCACTCAGCTCTGAATGATAAGAGAAATAATGA